TGCGAATCCAAATATTCCAAATAAGACCAAAGAACCCCAAATTCCATAAGAAACGAAGCTTCCATCTTACCTTTTGACTGCACCACACCTCAAGCAACGCTTTAACGTTCATGGGAAATACAATTTTAGTCTTTCATACACTGCATCAATGCTGACACACTTGCCATACAATGTCACAATGACACAAAACATGATTGATCAATTCATGTTCTCTTTTACACGATACACAAAGGGAATTATCCTTATATGAAACTCCACGCTTTTCCAACACTGGAAATCTTTGATGTATAGCTTTCCACACAAAAGCATCAACTTTAGGATGAGCATATTTTGACCATACTATTTTCCAAAGAGGGTCCTCCTAGGCCTGTAAATGAACCGAACGCACACGAACGGAGGTATGTTCATGTTTGTTTATTTAATAAATAAACGAACGAACATAAACGAAATTTTTTTTTGTTCATGTTCGTTCATTAAGGAATATAGCTTGTTCATGTTCGTTCATTTAATAAATAAACAAACACGAATGAACGAACATAAACGAACACAATAAACGAACATAAACGAACAACGCAAACACAAAAAAAAAATTATTCGAACACAACAAAGGAATGTAAAAAAAAGTAAACAACAAGAATAACAACTTAAAATTCATTAATAAACATACATAAATCATAAATAAATTATATGAACATAATAAAGTCTTAAAGTTAATTTGTTCAACAAAACAATCTTCTTGAAATCCAAACAACTTCAATAATCTTCGTAACATATTCAACTTGCCCTCTGTTCGAACATAAATAAACGATCATAAATGAACGAACATATAATCGAACGTAAATGAACGAACGAGCCCTTTATTCATGTTCGTTCATTTAATTAAACGAACGCAAAATCTTGTTTATATTCGTTCATTTAATACATAAACGAACTTCCCACCGCACGATTCATGAACGGTTTGCTGAACGTTCAATTAATTTACAGGCCTAGGTCCTCCGCCATACCAGCACAAGCTACCAGCGAACAATAAATTTTGGGCTTGTAAACCCCATCAAAAGCGCCAAGCCATTTTATTCTATCCACATCCTGGGCAGAATTGACAACTCTATTTAACACCTGAAGAAAATTATTCCATAAAACCATATCCCAATCAAAAAGTGTTCTCCTTAACTCAATCTTCCATTCTCAGACTCCGAAATTCCAATGACCGAATTCTCTAACCTTGCCAGATTTATGAATAACAATCCCAAAAATTCTAGGAAATGAGTTTTTTAAAGAGACCACTTTAGTCCAATGATCAAACAAAATTTTTATTTTGTTGTGTTTGGCAATCACACATCTCAAATCTGAAGCAAACTCAACCCCATTTGAAGATGACGAAGCAATGATATTACGCCATATCCAAGAGAAGTTTCGAGCGTTGGCTACTTTTGGGAGAATCAAATCCGGATCGTAATCATACTTTGCAACTAGGGATGGCAAAAAAACCCGAACCCGACGGGAAAAACTGAAAACCGAATTAAACGGGTCGGGTTCGAGGATGATAAACGGGGACGGGGACGGGGAAAACCCATTTATTTTAAACGGGGACGGGGACAGGGACGGGTTTGGTAATCCCCGCCCCGATTACCTGATTACCCACCCCGATTACCCGCCCCGATACCCGACCCGATAAATATTAAAAATAATTATTTATATATATATATATATATATATAATATTAATAAATTTAATTTAAATAAAAATATATATTTAATTTAAATATATATATATATACCCGGCCCGATTCCCGGCCCAATACCGACCCAATACCCGGCCCAATACCCGTTTATACTAAACGGGGATACCCGTTTCCCCGCGGTTTTCCCCGATTACCCGACGGGGATCCCCGTTTAAATCCCCGTAGTTTTTTAAATGGGGACGGGTACCGGTTTTTTAAACGGGGACGGGGACGGGGGGACCAATACCCGGCCCGAACCCGGCCCGTTGCCATCCCTATTTGCAACCACTACCTTTTTCCATAAGCTATTATCTTCCTCACTATAATGCCAAATCCATTTATTTAACATAGTTCGATTCCTAGTTTTAACATCGAATATACCCAAACCCCCATACGACTTAAGCCCGTAAATATTATCCCACTTAATCCAATGAATGACTCTGCCTGGCTTAGCTCCCTAGAAAAAGTTCGTTGTACACTTATTTAACTTATTGGCTACCGAAACTGGAATAGGAAATAAAGAGATAAAATACACTGGTAAATTGGCCAATACCGATCTAATCAAAGTAATTCTACCTCCAAATGATAGAAGTTTTCCTTTCTAGCTATCTAATCGAGTCCTAACTTTATTCATAATTGGTTTCCATAAAGCCATGGAATTTCGTTTGTGACCTAGCGGGAGACCCAAATATATAGTAGGGAGCACTGTCCAACCACAGTGAATGTCATCAACCCACCTTTTAATTCTATTTTCTTCCATATTGACATCGAAAAGCGTAGTCTTCTTAACATTTAGCTTCAACCCGGCAACTACTTCAAAGATTTTAAGAATTCATTTTAGATTTTTTAATCATCGTAAGATTTGATTTCGAAAAAATAAGCAAGTTGCATGCAAATTGGATATGAGACTGAACTAATCTTCCAACCCCCACGCCAACACCATTAAAAAAACAGCCTCTACCACTTAATTCAACAATCCACTAAGTGTCTCACCCACGATATTAAAGACTAACAGCGAAAGTGGACATCCTTGCCTTAAACCTCTGTAAATGGAAAAGTTATTCGATGGACATCTGTTTACCAACACTGCAATTGAAGGGGATGAAATGCAAATTCTTACTCATTTCCTCCATCTTCTACCAAAATCCATTTTATTTAAAATTAGATTCAGAAAATGCCAATCCACGGTATCACACGCTTTACTAAAATCTGCCTTGAACATGATTGCTTCCTTTTGTTCTTTAACATATCATCTATGACTTCATTCACAAGTAGAGCACAATTTGCAACCTGCTTTCCAGCAATGAATGCGAACTGATTTTCTCCAAAGACTTAGTTAAGACAACTAGCCATCATTTTGAAAAAAACGCGTGTCACAATCTTGTACAGAGGTCTCACTAGGGAAATCAGTCTAAAATCCTCCGGACAATCTGTACCAATCTTCTTCGGGATAAGAGAGATAAAGGATTGATTGAATTAAAAATCGTCGACCGTACCCCAATAGAGATCATCCAAGAATTTCATAATGTCTCCTTTAATGAACTTCTAAAACTTCTTAAAGAAGTCCAAATTGAACCCATCCAGTCCAGGCGCTCTCGATCCATCCGACGACTTAATGGTGAACCATACCTCGCTCTTAGAAAAAGGATATTCAATAAACCTTCTTGATGTAGCACTTAATATCTTGAGGGGAACATCAAACCTCCTAACAAGTAATGTCTTCACATTATTATAACCATTTTGGAAGTAATTAACAAAGGCTTGTTGGATACCTTTCTGGTTTTTTAGCACCGAGTTGTCGACCTTGAGCTTCGAAATCTGATTCATTCTTCCTCTTGACGCGAATATTAGATGGAAAAACTTGGTGTTTTTATCACCATCTTTGAACTACCGTAATCTAGATTTTTGCAGCCACTCACGTTCTTCCCGCCTCAAAACCGCCGACAACTTTGCCTTCAAAACAGCCAATTCAGATTGGATTACACCATTGTTCCCATTAGATAAACAAATATTTTCTAATGCATCAATCTTTTCTTCAATCTCTTGAATGGATTCAAGATCATTCTCGTGAATTGACATCGCCCACTCATTGGTCGTAATCTTTACCACCATTAGAATATGATCGACGCCATTGCACTGGTTAGATTCACATAATTTTTTGACTATTTCAAAGAATTCAAAGTCCTCTGCCCCAGTGGTTGAACCACTTGAAAGTCGGATGCTTTTTCTTATATTCTCTGGGGAGGATAAATTGCATAAGATGAGGGAACTTACATTCGATATCCGTTAAATTAAATTTTTGTCCAACCTGCTCACTGTTAGGGATGGCAAAAAAATCCGAATCCGACGGGGAAAACCGAAAACCGAAAACCGAATTAAACGGGTTGGGTTCGGGGATGATAAACGGGGACGGGGAAAACTCATTTATTTTAAACGGGGACGGGGACGGGTTTGGTAATCCCCGCCCCGATTACCCGCCCCGATACCCGACCCGATAAATATTAAAAATAATTATTTATATATATATATATATATATATTAATAAATTTAATTTAAATAAAAAATATATATTTAATTTAAATATATATATATATACCCGGCCCGATTCCCGGCCCAATACCGACCCAATACCCGACCCAATACCCGGCCCAATACCCGTTTATGCTAAATGGGGATACCCGTTTCCCCGCGGTTTTCTCCGATTACCCGACGTAGATCCCCGTTTAAATCCCCGTAGTTTTTTAAACGGGGACGAGTACCGATTTTTTAAACGGGGACGGGGACGGGGGACCAATACCCAGCCCGTTGCCATCCCTACTCACTGCCATATTCTTTCCACCCCTGAGGCCTGAACCACGTAAATATACTCCCCAAAATTGGGACATCAATCAAATCCCATCTTGAGATGAAATCCTCAAAAAGATGCATTGTAGCCGAGTTACCATATACCCCAGTTCTTTCTGTTTCCACTCTGACAATATTAAAATCTCCACCGACTATAATAGGAATAGCCAAATTTTCTATTACGTCATTGAGTTGATAAAAGAACTACAATCTATCACCCTGAACATTGGTTTCTTTAATTTTTGAAATGGACAGATTGTAATTGCAGGAACCTTGTTTCCTTTGGTTTTATTTTGTAAACGTTTTGGAAGTTGATATAAACAAATATTTCTGTACATTTTTGTGCCCATTTTACTATGATTCATGTACTAAAACATCTAAAATTGTTAATCAGAAACTTCATTGGTAATCGAGTATAGTAAACATAGGTTGATTACATGAGAAATCAATCTACAAGGCAGGCCAAATGCCCAGTTTCCAGCTAAGGGGAAAATATAACACAATAGGAGACATTTCCTGTAGAGCTTCAAGGAAACAGAAAATAACATCGAGTCTGCCTGAGAGATGACTGAACGTTCAACCGATCCTCAACTCTATGAAATAAGATAGAAGGAAATAAGTTACAAGAGAACAACATCCAAAATGGATTGCCATATGTTAGTTGTGAGCCTCATCCTACCTTGTTAGCTATGTTGTTGGAGAGCCAGTCAAGTCCCTCGTACAGCCCTTCGCCCGAGGTTGCACATGTACTCTGGATATACCTGTGAGAGAAGCACAAGAATGAATGATTACAAATCTGACCTAATAAATTGTGTATAAACAAACAGTCAATGATACGCTACCAGTGGCGCTGACGGAGGGAGTGGAGGCCAAGCTTATCAGTAATCTCAGCAGCATTCATAGCGTTTGGTAGATCTTGCTTGTTAGCAAACACAAGCAGCACAGCATCCCTCAGCTCATCCTACACATATGACAGCTAACATAATGATTGAAAAAGTAATCGCATGTGTATAAAATAACAAAACAGCCAACATAAACTACAGCCTCATAATTTCTTTCAGTTAAAATCCCAACACATAGTAATATCCATGTGTCAGAAGGTTAGAAGGTAATTGGAAGTGAACATAGTTGGATAATATCCATGTCAACCACACGAATAGAGCAAATTAGTACCTCATTCAGCATACGATGAAGCTCATCCCTGGCCTCAACAACACGGTCACGATCATTGCTATCGACAACGAAGATTAGCCCCTGTGTATTTTGGAAGTAGTGCCTCCACAAAGGTCGGATCTGAAAGTGCACAAAAAAGCATTCAGATCATTGCATGCTATCAAACTCAATATATTCAACCATTCATTCAAATAAATGGGAAACAAAATTATACCGTGGATAGCCTTTCCTTGTATAATCCAAAGGAAAAAAATTCAAAAGACAAGGTAACAATAAATCGATGTATTTGGTAAGTCTACAACCATTAGACTTTAGGATAAGAATTCAGCTAACAGCAGCCCTATGGCATTGATTAAAATCGAGAAACCAAATAGAATCATTGCCCTATATACCCGTTAAATCAAAATATAAAATGGTTCAGTTGTGTTGATATAGGAACATTCAATCAGAGAAAGAGTGTAAGCATATTAATGACCACCAAACAAAACTGCTATGGAAACAGACAGGTATAAATAGGTATGGAATTTTTGCCAAAGAATGAATGATCTTCCTCATTCAGTGGAGGAGAACAAAAAAAATATGGGATATGGCCATATATGTAGCTTATGAATATGTTATGTGCTGACGGAGAACAATCTAATCAGCACAGGACCGTCCATAAGCACATTAAGAACAAGGAACATACAAGATGATGAGTGTAAGCACATCAATGACCACCAAACAAAACTGCTATGGAAAACAGACAGGTGTAAAGGTAAACAGGTATGTAATATTTGCCAAAGAATGAATAGTCTTCCTCATTCAGTTAAGAGGAGAACAAAAAACATAATATGGCCATACGTGTAGCTTATGAATATGTTATGTGCTGATGGAGAACAATCTAATCAGCACAGGACCGTCCATAAGCACATTAATAACAAAGAACATGCAAGATGATGTGTGTAAGCATATCAATGACCACAAACCAAAACTGTTATGAACACAGGAAGACGGCATAAAGGTAAATAGGTATGTAATATTTGCCACAAAATGGATAGTGTTCCTCATTCAGTGAAGAGGAAAACAAAAGAACATAAAACGGCCATACATGTAGCTTATGAATATGTTATGTGCTGAAGGAAAACAATCTAATCAGCACAAGACCGTCCATAAGCACATTAATAACAAGGAACATGCATGATGATGAGTGTAAGCATATCAATGACCACAAACCAAAACTGTTATGAACACAGGCAGGCATAAAGGTAAATAGGTGTGTAATATTTGCCACAGAATGAACAGCCTTCCTCATTCAGTGAAGAAGAGAACAAAAAAACATAATGTGGACAAAGATGAAAGAGGACAACTTTCATGTGTAGCCACAAACTCGGATAGGTCCTGGAAAACAGAATAATTGTAAAAGTCTGAACATTCAAGGTTTTGTTCCACGAATTTTCAAGTATATGTCGTATTACCTTGTCCTGACCACCAACATCCCAAACAGTGAAGCTAATGTTCTTATATTCTACAGTCTCCACATTAAACCCTGCACAAGGTAGCCATAAGCATCAATATTAAATGTCAGATTATTAAAAATATATAAAGAGAACCCAAAAAATGACAAAGGGACATACCAATAGTGGGAATGGTAGTTACAATCTCGCCGAGCTTGAGCTTGTACAAGATGGTAGTCTTACCAGCAGCATCAAGACCCACCATAAGAATTCGCATCTCTTTCTTGGCGAAAAGCCGACTGAACAACTTAGCAAAAGACAGTCCCATCCTTTTTTCTTGGTTGGCAATCAGAATACATGATAAGGTCAATCGTAATTTATTCATCAAATCATTGCTATCGAAAAAGAAACAAATATCACATTTATAAAATTACGTATAACAAAATAAACCCCCACTTTTTCCATCTTAGAAATGCACGTCATTGCACAAAGTGAAAGAGATGAATAAAGTTGAAAACAATTTCTTTGAGCGAATAAACTTGTACAAGCAATGTCAATCTAAACAAACAGATCGAAACCAGCTACATTATAGTATCATAATGAATGGAATGAGCAGATCAAGGTACAAAAAAGAAGAATAGCTTCAAAATGGAAGCTAATATTAGCAGCAGCATATTAAGAAAGATCTAAGTGGAAATATAAACATAACAAAGAAAGCCCAGATCCAGATCTTGCAACAAACAGTGAAAGACCCGTCAACACAAATCAAAGCACGGACCTTTTATTAATACATATAAATCTAAAACAAAATCAAAGGAAATCAGAACGCAGAAACAAGATACTAGAAATGAGAGAACAGGGATAAGATTCATACATTGGTGAGCAACCGCAGGCTGCCCACTGCAGGGAGAAGAAACAAACGAATAGAGAAACAAAAATTGGAAGCCAATTAACGTTCAAAAAATGTAGGCCTTGCGGCTATTTATTACGCAATTGGAGGCGGGGGTGATTTCAGATTAGGTTTTTTTCTTAAACGTTGCCTTAGATTAGATTCAAACGCTGTCGTTTCATATCCTCTCTTAACCTCAAAAATTATCCTTCACAAAATAGAAATAAAAATTGTACAAATATAACATTGTTTTTCAAGGTTTTGGTGATAGCTTAATATTAATGTTAAAATAACATTAGTAATATAATATTTAAAATTTTTAATTTTATAATATATAAAATATATTATAACATTAACACACCTAGTATAACAAATAAATTTTAAAACTACAATTTTAATTTTAAAAATAATTTTTTAATTTTTTTATAATTGAATTGAAAAATATACTTTTCAACCATATTCCTTTTTCAAAAAAAAAAATCTTTTCTTATTTAAAGTAACCAAATTTGGTCAAAATACGGATACTAATAATAGTACTGATTCATAAAAAATCTTAGAGTTTAATATAATTTCAGATTTTTTATCTATTTTTCTCCCTAAGAAATTAAGGTCAACTAATAAACTTTTTGAGAAGCTTAAATATAGATTACTAATAGCTTATTTTCAAAGGAAAAAGATTATTAACAGCTAAACATACAAAGAAGTCTTTAACAACCCTGCTGAGTCAGCAGTTTTTACATTCATAGATAGTTCACAATCCGATTCCGGCCAACCACCTACTCAACCACCGAGCTGGCTTCCTTTCAGCGGCGGCTGCAACTGCAGCTCCAGGTCATTGTCTACGCCAACAGCTTTTGTGACTTCAACCTTCCCTTCTCCTCCTTTTTCACCGGCGTTCATGTGTTTCATCTCTTTATCTTTTCCCCACAGGACAGCGTACAGTCCACCGACGATCAAGAGTGACCCTATAACACTGTTTCATCATTACAGATTAATCAAACCTGATTAAGATTAATAAAAGTTTAATAGGTGCGTTCGAAAACGTACGTCCCAACGTATAATTTCTCACGAAGCAGGACCCAGCTCAGAATAGCCACGATGACAAGCAACAAAGGGCTGAACACCGATACATAGAGAGGACCCCTTATCTGTATGCACCATGACATGACACAAAACGCTACCGCATTGCATATGATTCCCTGGAAAGATATAAACCAGAAGAAAACATTATCGTCTGTTCCTGCTCAATTAGCAGATAATGTATATACATGTGTCCGATCCAAGCCCGATCGGCTATCTCTTACCGCGTAAAGAGCTGCTATAAGCCTCATGGGGGAGCTCAATGACCAAGCTGATGGTTTGTGTTCCGAAAATATGCCAATGATTGTACACTCGATGCTGGCCATGAAGCACATTATAGTGGTGCATGTGTACGGAGCTGGGAAGTTCTTGCTTGTTTGTCCCTGAAAATTATGTTAAACCTATGATTATTGTATTTGAATGAAGAGATTTTGATGAACCATGTGGGTGTTCGGCTTTACCTGGAGTATAAACCATACGGCCCAAGCGATAGCGCTGGCCATGACGAGGAAAGGACCGAGGAACGAGTTCGATCCAATAGTGCCGGAGCTGTCGTTGCTCGACATTTTATCGGCATAGTTCCAGTGGACCTTTGATTCGCCTATACCGACGATGTGTCCGTGGTAAAAAGAAAGCAGCATGGCTCCACCTACACATATTAGTGTACCTAATACCTTGGCCACCCCTGATGCCTTCTTTATTCCCACGGCTTCTTGTCTAGTAAAACGTCAAATTCAACAATTTACGAGAAGAAAGGTAAGGAGAAAAGCACATCAACGGCCTGCTGATGTGGGGGAAAAAAGAATGCTTTCTAAAAAGCAGTTAGAAGCTTCTTGGTTTGGATCCTAAAGGACTTCCGAAAAAGATGTTTTTGAATGGCAGAAACCCTCTGTATACTATTGCTTTTGGTGTCAAAAAAGTGCATTTACGCGGGCAAAAGCAATTGCTAAAACACCCCCCTTAATACATATACTGAAGAAGCCATAAAAGGCAATTGGGACCTGAAAATAGCAGCGAGGACAAAGGTGGCTGCCGGGAGTACATTGTTCAATGCACATGCAACCGTTGCAGTAGTATAGTTCAGTCCGACGAAATAAAAAATTTGGTTCACCGTCGCCCTGCATCCATCGATCCATGTTCAATTTGAAGTTAGCCATATGCCTAATGACATGCAAAAGAGAACACTAAACAGTATATACTTACCCTGTCACTGAACACAAGAAAATCTGGAAAAGAATAGGCATAGTGATTTTGGGTCTTGTTTTTCTGCATAAAAAAGAGTGAAAAAATCAAGGGTAATTCCCCACAACAATCACAAAATGGCTGTAACGTCACCATATCTGAGAAAAAGCCAACAAGACGAAATGACTTGGCAGCCATGCATGGAGTAAAATCTGCTTTTTTCAAACCAGTTGCAACTTGTAAATCAAAGAATCTATTTTAAGCAATCGATTAACTGAGCTCCCTGTGTTACTTAAACCATACGGCTTCATATATTAGAACCTTTTTTCCTCAAACATCCTTTAATTATTCTCTTTTTTCCTGATGTTTCTTAGAAACCAAACAAAAAAAACAGCACCACCACTGCATGCCGGTATATCGGTGTCTTTTGAGAGAAAACTTCAAGAAAGCTTAATCTAACAAGTTAAAATCGAAAATAAAAAACGAACCCTTCTTCAAGAAAGTAAAGCCTCAGCATGCAATGTGCAAGAAAGAACAGATAAAACCCATAACTAAGAAAAGATGGTTTCTTGATGAATAAGTTAAGACACAATTTACCGCTCCAAGAAGAAGGCTGTCGCGACCGTCTTTCGGTTGGGCCCCGGAATTGGGCTTCGACTTAGGGAAATGGATTGGAGTCGCCACCGACCACTTTAAAACGAATTTAGGTGGGTCGGACACCATCTTACCTGATCTGCATTGTACCAGAGACGTGTCGGGTTCGGGAGTCGGTTATGGTCAAGGAAGGATTAGCACCCTTGAACCGCCCTTTCGGTACCAATTAATTTATCGGTTGTCTTTAATTGCGAAAAAAAAATTTAAATTTAAATTTAAATTAAAAAAAAACTCGATTCAAATTACTTACCTTTGATTGGTTGAAATTCTTATAAAAGAGTCGAAAATGTTAGAAAAAAAATATATTAAATAAATAAAAAACGTACAAAAAATGAAAATAATAAAATAATAAATCAAAATGAAAAGGAAAAAAATGCAAAAGACGCAAACCTTTGTCCATTTTCGAAAACTCTAGCAAATATAAGGATTTTTGTTTTGGTTTACCCTTTTCTTTTTTAAAACACACAAACCCTTGCTCCAGCCTTGTATCATTGAACAGAATGCTTTTGTTTTTCTTTTTCTTTCCACGTAGTGCCATTTCCTTTTATCTCTTCTCTCATTCTCGCCGCACCTCCATCTTCCGTAGCATATCGGGGTCGTCGGAGTTAGTCACCATCACGTTTAGCGTTATTTAGTTCTTCGCTTGGCCGTGCAGTCTTTGTTAGTCTTCCATCGGTAAGTAAATTGCGCCGCCGTTCGCCATTGTTTTTGGTCGTGTGCGACGGGCTCGTGTGTATGGTGGTCGTAATGACCGGGTTGGCCTTGGAGACTTGGTCATAGATTCAAGCATCTGGAATCTACTTTGCATGGGAACCCAAAACCTTACGAGCATTAACAAGATCAGACCCATTTGCGCACAAATGAAAGAGTAATCCTCGGATATTCCCAAATTTCGAACCGTCGTAATCGATTCCAAGTCCACCTCCGATGTCAATAACCGTCATGGTCCCGAAGAATGCTCCCACTAGCAGCTTCCCTCGATCTTGGATTCACAACACCATCAAAATTTAACTTGAGCTCACCGGGGAAGAAAGACACCAAGTATTGCGTCTCCTTTGCCGACACGATACTGGGTCGTGGTTCAACGATCTAGCAGCGATGGAGGTAGCCCAGGCTCGTGCGTTTTGGATGATCGCCATTGTTGACTAGCTCTCTTGATTAAGATTAGAGCACAACGTTGTTTCCAAATGCGCCACATCATTATGCCGAACATGTATTTCCCCTGGTGGCACCCGCAAAGGCAAGAAAGAAGTAGAATCCAACAAGTGTGAGCTTGGGAGCAGACTCAGACTTGGTGATGAAGTACAATAACCCAATGTACGAAAACAAAGAAACTGCGAAGAGTTGAGAGGCAATGCTTTGTGAGTCAATATTTGGTGTCCATGGATCCACTGGAAACAAACACCCATGCACAATCCCTGTCTTCATGTTAATAAATTTTACGTCCTTGTAATTCCTGTAGTTTCTGCTTGCATTGCTTGGAATTGACGCTGGCTTGTTTCGGAGGAAGAGAAAAGATCCTGGAAATGTTGAAGTCAAAGGGAAAATATGATTGGGTGGTTTCGTGCTATGGCCGAGAGGCCACAGCACCTCTTTCTCTCTTTCTTTTTGATGCGCCCCTCGATTTTGGTTTCCCCCCCTTATTTAAAGCTAATTTCAAACACTCCAAATCCATGCCATTTGCTCCCTGATGCATGTGGTAGTGGAGTAGGTGGGTAGGTATGTAGTTGAGATAATAGTGGGGTAGTGGAGCCTGCAAAAATAATATTAATAGTATTAATAATATAATAATAATAATAATAATAATAATAATAATAATAATAATAATAATATAATATATTATTTAAGTCTGGTCAAAAACGGGTGTCTACAGCTGCCCCTCTTTGCACATTCTTGTGTTAGCAAGAATAGGGCAAAGACGAAAAAGACAACCAGTTTTTGTCTAGTGTTCTCAAATGTGATTGAGCTTCCTGGAATTGGGCCTTTGTATTCTTATCGGTTTAAAGATTTCGGCTTGAAAATTCTTCCAGAAAGCAATTTATCGCTGTCATCGAGCTGAATGAAATCGAACTCATCAGGTCTTTGGTTGGCAGATAGCCCTTCTCAACTTAAGCTATGCTGCAAATGATGTGCCTCGGAGCTGAGCGTAGTCAAACTCGAAGGTCTTTGGTTGGCAAATAGCCCTTCTTGCCTTGAGCTATGTTGCAAATGATGTACCTTGGAGCTGAGCGTAGTCGAACTCAAAGGTCTTTGGTTGGAAGATAACCCTTCTCGACTTAAGTTATGCTGCAAATGATGTGCCTTAGAGCTGAGCGTAATCGAACTCGGGGGTCTTTGGCAGATAGCCTTCTCGAGTTGGATATCCTTCGTCGTGAAGTTGAAAGTTGTTTATTGACAACCAGCGGTCCCTTCGTCGTGAAGTTGAACTTGCGTTGTCTTGAGTTCAATATCCTTTGCTATGAAGTTGAAATTGACTCTGAAATTGGGAAATTGTTTATTGACAACCAGCGGTCCCTTCGTCGTGAAGTTGAACTTGCGTTGTCTGGAGTCCAATATCCTTTGCTGTGAAGTTGAAATTGGCTCTGAAATTGAGAAGTTGTTTGTTGACAACCAGCGGTCCCTTCGTCATGAAGTTGAACTTGCGTTGTCTAGAGTCCAATATCCTTCGTTGTGAAGTTGAAATTGGCTCTGATATTGGGAAATTGTTTGTTGACAACCAGCGGTCCCTTCGTTGTGAAGTTGAACATACGTTGTCTGGAGTCCAATATCCTTCGTTGTGAAGTTGAAATTGGCTCTGATATTGGGAAATTGTTTGTTGACAACCAGCGGTCCCTTCGTCGTGAAGTTGAACATACGTTGTCTGGAGTCCAATATCCTTCGCTGTGAAGTTGAAATTGGCTCTGAAATTGAGAAGTTGTTTGTTGACAACCAGCGGTCCCTTCGTCGTGAAGTTGAACTTGCGTTGTCTGGAGTCCAATATCCTTCGTTGTGAAGTTGAAATTGGCTCTAAAATTGAGAAGTTGTTTGTTGACAACCAGCGGTCCCTTCGTCGTGAAGTTGAACTTGCGTTGTCTGGAGTCCAATATCCTTCGCTGTGAAGTTGAAATTGGCTCTGAAATTGGGCAGTTATTTTTTTTTGACAACCAGTAGTCCCTTCTTCGTGAAGTTGAACTTGTGTTGTCTCGAGTGGCATGATATCCTCCGTCGTGGAGTTGAAATCGCGGATGGCCCTTCCGTTGTGAAATTGAAACCTGGCTTGAAAGTGTTAACTAGAAACATACTGCTCATGGTTGAGTTTGTGTCGAACTGGATTTGTTTTGAACTGGTTCTCGAACCTATCTGAAATTGGTTCTAAGATGTCAAGTCGGTTGAGGTGTAGCTTTTTACTGCCGAGTTAATCAACCACCATCCTTCTTTGAAGGCGCTTGAGAATCGAGTATCCTTCAACCTAAAGTCAAAACTTGACTCTAAAAGCTGCAAAAACGTGTATGCTAAAATGATGAATGTGATGCACCTAAGTATGTTTAAGATGCATGCAATATGAATGAATTATGTGTTATCTTCTGGATGGAGTCTCGTGCTTTGTCTGTCAATCAGGTCCTTGGAATGGATCGTGCCCCATTTGCTTCCTGAGCTTTGGCTTTACAGACCTTTCATATCTGAGACTGTTCTGCTTGAAAATGTTTTTCTCCTTTTTCTTGTTTTAAGGAGAGAGACATGATAAAAATGTTGTAAAATATTGTTCGCAATTGAATCAAATTGTAAATGTGAGTTCAAAAAATATCAAAGGAATCAAGAGCTCTTTTAATGCTTTCAGAGTTACAAATCTTTGACAAATGTTCAAATGGATGAGTTGGCTTTAGGTTAGCCTCCTTTCCAAGGTTTTGGTAACCCAAAATGTCATTTTTTTTAAATATCGAAATATGCTTTGGCATTTCATTTGGGTGCGGACATAATGACGCAACTAGAATGACCAATTACTAGACATTTTATTTCGGTCCTCTGAAATCTTCCATTTGTTCAAGCTTTGTAGGCTCCTCCAACAAAGGCAGTGCGAAAAATATCGGTCTAAAAATGAAATTCTTGAGTGCTCGTGTGTAGTCGACTATAACAGGTGTTCCTTAACTCCCTTAGTCCATTTTACCGAAACTTCATGCTTAGATAAATTCGATTTAATTTGCCGTTATCTGGCTAGCTGAATCCATAAAGCCGGGGCGCTTAACCAATTGCTTTAGAGGGACAACTTATCATTATAATCATTTTTATCAAGTTAACTGAAGGGTTCATCTCATCACAAAGTCTTCGGCCTGACAAAAGTAGTGGAGCAAACACCGAATTGCCAAGTGTCCGAGCAATGTCATGGTTTGAATGACATCTATTCATAAAGCCAGGGCTTTTGAGTTTCCTCTATAACCAATTGCCTTAGTGGAATAGCTCAGCTTTA